TGCTGCTGCTGCTCACGGTCTGCGCCCAACCCAAACATCCGCCACCCTCTTGAAACCCCAACATGTCATGGCCTCGCTCGGCTTCTTGAGAAGAAGGAAGAGCGAGAGACAGACAGAGAGAGAGAGAGAGGGGAGAGGGGAGAGGGAGAGGGTTCGAGCCAAACCCTGGCTCTTTCATTTCAGGACTAAGGCGGCAGCCCCTGAGCAAAGGTGCGCAAGTGCTGATAGATGCCCTCAACATCCGTCGGAAGAAGCCGGATCAAAGCCGTCAGGTTCATCTGGCGCAGCGTCCTAATGAGCGGCTCGTGAGCATAACGTAGGCAAGTAGATGCAGTGGTCGTGAACCCTTACATCATAAATCCCAAACCCAATGACAGAAGAAACAAGGATGGGACTTAGTAGACTTAGCAGTTTCCGTCAGCAGGAAAGCATGCTCAAGTTGCTCGACGCTTCTTCTTCAGCTTGCACAGCTCCTTCCACGGAATGCTCTCATCAGACTTTCCAGAGGCCTCGCCACCAAACTTGTCCTGCAAGGTCCGGATGAAGTGCTCGGCACGTTCTTGAAGTCCTGCTGCACGGGCCTGCTCCCTGATATGGGGGATTAGCAGACGGAGCAGCTCTTGTTCTGTCATGCGTTGAACTCGGGCCCTTTGCATCTGGTCAAGTTTCGGCATCGGAGAGTGCTGGCCGTGGTGACAGAACTGGCACAAAGCGCCCTGCTTGCAGATGCTTCCCTTCAGTAAGTACACGCAGGGACGGTGGCACAGCACTGGGTGGCCCAAACTCCCAAAGCTCTTGGCCTCGGCATCCTCGGAAACCGCCGTTTGGGGGGGAGGAAAGTCTGCCAAGACGGCCTTCAAGGCGCTCTCCGGTCGGGCACGCGCCATTTTTTGGCCTCCGATCTACGATCTACCTGACGGCGCTTGGGACGTAGAAACGCTGCGTCGACGAGGCGCGTCAGTCGTCACAGATCCAAGCAGGTTTCGGCTTCTACCAACACCCAGACATGCCCAGACTCTCGGCGGCTTACGAGGAAGCACAAGCTCTCTAGACTCTAGACTGAATCTGCGGATGTGGCAAGCCACCCGTGGGCTTTCGTCCCACAGTGTCAGCGGCCGTGCGCGGCCGATCAGCGCATCTTCTAGGCGGCGCCTTGGGATGGCCGATCTGAGTCTGAGGCAATGCATTGAACCTGCATGGGTCCCTGTGGCTCTCAGCCGCCGTGGCACTGTTGAGCAGTCAGCGACTCCAGCAGGTCCACCTTGCGGTCCTCCGCCACAAGCTGGCCTGGACAGAAGTAGCCAGAAAAGCACTTCCGTGCAAGATCGATGAGATGGAGACCCCGTGCACAACGGCTACAGCTCCCACGAGGTCGCCTGAAAGGATCTGGTAGCTCTCGGCAGTGAGCAGGACAGTCCTGAATTCGCGTGCTAACAGGACTAGGAGACGTGGAGGGGAGTCCGGGCATTATTACCCATCTTAGTCTGCACCCGAAGCCCTGAACCTGCTGGCCAGTGTCACACCAGTTGTGTGCTTCACGATGCGCGAGAAGTCCATGCACTGTCCTTGGACGTGGCACTCTTCTGGGAGCAAACTCCTCTCTGCACCGTTAAAGCCCGAGCCACAAAGGCTGTCCAAAACCCCCAGGCCAGAACCGAAAGGAAGACGGTTCCAAGAACAGTACTTTCAGCTTCAGCCAAGAGGGCTGAGGAGCCTCAAGTCGTCGATGTCCTGGCGTCTGGACTTCGCTGTTGAGTTTGCAAGTCACAAGGTGCTTCGGGATGTGCAGCAGCCCACACCAACTTGGTAACAACAGGCAAGAGCATCAAGAGCACGAACAGAAGTCCTTCTAGTTTCAGTTCCCTAGCTCCAACCTTGGCCATGGTTGCCAGCGAGGAGATGTCGACTGTGACTGTAGAGCCGTCCTGTCACACTCAAAGCAGGGCTCAACTTCGATGTTGCACGCATGTTCAAAGACGTGGGAATGCATCCGCCAGGCCTGGTTCAGGCAGCGGTGATTCATCAGCTTCGCAAAGAGCTCTACAAGAAACTGAAGCCCGCGCCCTGGGATAGTTCTTCTGCATTTTCTTCCGGACTAAAGCCGAACCTCCCCCGCGTTAGTGCACACCCGCTTGTTGTAGGGCACGGCTGGCGAAAGACAGAAAATTCAATTTCGGCGAATCGGCGTTTTCCCACATCGCTCGGGCAACTTCGCTGACGTTTGCGAAGTTTCGAAGGACTCCGAAAAACAATGTGATGTCTGCAAGTGCACCACAAGACTCTCCTTATAGGTGCGGAGCCCGCTGCAAGCTTAAACGCCCAGATGGAATGCAAGGCAAAGTGCGCAAGCCGAGGCCCTGGTTGGCCATGGCGTTGGTCAAGAAGAGAGGCAAATACTGGAAGATGAAGGCCTGGCGGCGTTCGTGCCATGTTTTCGGCTTGACTCGGTTCGGGTTTTACGAGTAGGGGGTAGGGTAGGACGAGAGGGTTCACATGCATCCCTTCATGCACGCTTTACCTGCATCCAAGCAAGGCATGCGTACACATACACGAGCCAAAGGCAGGGGGAGAGAGAGGGAGAGAGAGACGGCAGTGCGAAAAAACAGCCAAAACAGATCAGATAGAGATTGATATGCATATGTACACCTTTGTAGCTATGATAATCAAGGCTTTTGCTCGTGCGATTTGTATGGTGTTAAATGGAACTCTGTGACCCAAAGCTCGCAGGGTTGCCTAGCTGCCTGTTGGTGTTGTTCGCAAATCTTGCGCACATATTAAGCAGGGGCCTTGCCTTCATGCTTCCATACATGTGCATCCATGCATGCATGCATGTATGTGCATACGCATATATATATATACATACATATATATATATACATACATACAAATATACACACATACACATATACATACACATACACGTATTCGTATGCATTTACAAGTGTATATGTATGTGTATGTATACATATATATATATATATGTATCAGTTTCTGCGATCTCCAACACTCACAAAGTTCGCTGAACAGCCAGCGATCGCACAACTTCTTTTCTGCGACCG